GTCTATAAAAGGGGACTATTAAGTCATTGCCAATACGCAGTGGATAAACAGTTGTACTTTGTATAGTTTGGGGGATTAAATCACTTAAATATTGTGGCGCGAGGCCATTGTATATCTTAGAAAAATAATTGAAGTTTTCTTCTGTACCTCCTACTGTGTAAGGGTTCCCAGCTAGTCTCTAAGTATAAATATTCGGTGTTAGTAAATATTGGCAATCCTGTTACAATCCTCGCAGCTTGCAGTTGAAGTTTTTCTAATTTGTTTGAATAGCAGATACCATAATTGTCCCACACTTCACAAGCATACTCAAATAAAGGCCAAATATATACCAGATACATTTGTTTTTTCTTTTTTTTTAATTTAATTTTTTTTAAGTCTCCTAAATGCTTTGTAATATTTTTGGAAATATTTTCTCCGTGCTCATTCCACTTAACGTCCTGGGAAAGAGTTACACCTAAGTATTTATGGCTTGATGTGTTATATATTGATCTTCCATTGAAAGAAAAACTTAAATTACTTGTAATCTTAGTATTTGAGCAAATTATTATTTCCGTTTTATCTGGATTAAAGGAAATTAACCAATTGTTTTACCAAACATTGAGTTTGTTTAAATCATGATTAACTTCTACCTCTAATTAGATATAAGAAGATGTGATATGAGTGCTAATGAGACAACTCTCCATCCAAGTCACAATTTGAGTCTAAGTCTGTAATGCTTGCGGTGGAATATCCCAGTGACGTATCATCAGCAAAAAGTCTAGTCAGTGAAATTAAATGTTCGCCAATATCATTTATATACAGCAAAAATAAAAGGGACCGAGAACAGAGCCTTAGGGTACACCCGCAGAAACAATGGACAACGACGAAGACGAATCTCTGATAACTACGTTTTGTTTTCTTTGAAAAAGATAATTTTTAGTCCATGCAAGTAAATTTCCCTTTATTCCATAAGAGTTCATTTTATGTATAAGTCCATTATGCCATACTTTATCAAATGCTTTTGAAAAATTACAGAATACGAAGCAACTGATTTCTTTTTTTTTCAAGAGAATTTAATATAGTGTTATATAGTTCAATTAGTTGATGTACAGCTGAATGTTTAGGTAAAAAAACCTAGATGGTTATAAATATGTTTGTAGACTACCCTCTCCAATACTTTTCAAACACAGCTAATTAGGGATATCGGTCGATAATTAGATGGAAGGATGCATCTGCTTTCTTAAATATGGCAATTATATTGGCTATTTTCCATGAAGAAGGGTATTTACCTTGGGCCAGGGATTTACTAAATATAATTTTAAGGGGTTTTGCAATTTTTTGGGGGATATTTTTAGCATCCTGTGACTGATTCTGTCAGGCCCAGATGCTTTTTTAGGATCAAGAGTAAGAAGTATATTGACTATTTCGCTTTCTGGTATTTGAGTATCACTTTAATTATACTTTCCGTTCTATTCTCAACACGGGACATCTCAATATTTTGTTCATAGTTTGATATCGGAGTATTTATTCATTAGTTCACATTTGTCAGTATCGTCATATACGATATTGTCAAAATTTGGCTCATTATTTATATTTTGAATAGGTGGAATTGTGTTATTCCCATAATTAGATTTTATTGACATCTTCATTATTTTCCAGTAATTTTTACATCGCGATGACCGTGAGGGCATTCCAATGTATTGCTATCGCCTAGATTTCGTTATATAGATACAATGGATAAGCGTGGATTCTTGAAAAAGAAACCATGAGCCCGGAGGGCGAATGGTTTGTTTTTCATGAATCTACGCTTATCCATTGTATCTATAACTTAAACTATTGTGTTAATTTCTTTCAAAATTAAAGCCTTTTCTTAATTAGAAGGTATTGTAAGTGAGTTTAAATAACCATGTTATCGTGTCCAACGATGCATTGATAAATCTCAGATCACAATTAATTGGTTAACAAAATACAAATATAACACTTCTACCTTTAAAGATCTTTATATTACCAGGCATATGAATATTATCTGTTTATACAAAATAAGACATATTCGAAATTATTTCTAATAAAATTGAAAATGGAAATGGGGAACGTGTCAAAGAGACAACAACCCGACCAAAAAGCATATATAAAGTATATATAATAAGTATGTTATCGAAACTTTTCTAACAATCTAGGCACATCACGATTTTCTCGCATAGGAATTTGCGAACAAACCTTTGTAAAATTATGTAGTAAAACAGATGAAATCATACATATTTATAAAACAAAAATTGACAAATAGAATGTAATCATTTTTGTTTCAAACATGTGAAATAGCCGATAATAATATATAAAAAAACGGTAAAACTCGCTATTTTTACAAAAATATCCGCATTAACTTGCAAAATTAGAAAAAAACAAGGATAGCTTAAGAATTGGAACAACAGAGAGAATACAGGGATTCGAACCTAAACCGACAAATCCCGATCTTTAACGCATTGATTTTAACCATGCTAACCTCGCGGCTACCAACTCATACTATACGACTGCCTATTGTGTCTATATAAAGGTACAATCCCTGTGTGTCCTATGAAGCGATGTATATCAGATGTTCATTTAAATATATAAAATAAACATCTATAGTGTAACCCATTGGTAGCCGAGAGGTTTCGTCGGTGTGTTGATGTCAGTCACACATAACAGATTTCAAGGAAGGGTTCGATTCCCAGTGAAGGCATATAAAAATTACAAAAATTAAAGGTAAGTTTTTAAATTAATTCCATTAGTGAACAGAAATCAGTAAATTAGCCAATTCAAACTTAATGAAATTAAGCACACAAAGGAAACAATTGAATATAATTTGGTGAGTCAATTTCAGCGGCAGATTTAGGAAGCGTTGATTCTAGAAAAAGAATCCACGGTAAATGAATAGGCTGACGTCACCACAATGGTTTAACATTACGTAACTTTCGTTTTGGGTTTGTAACCGATCTATAAACATGATAAATATGCGGATATTAACGAGTGCAAAATAACATTCCTTATCGTTTGTTATAAATACATCTCTTCAATGAATACTGATAACAATGTTTTTGTTTAGAACATAAATTAATAATATGAAAATGTTTTGTCGTTAGATATATATATATATAAGTAAAAAATCATTGATATGGTAAAGCATGCGGAAGAATATCTCAAGAACATTTTGCGACAATCCTGGCAAGGACCGGTAACTCTGCATGGAAGATTGTTTTTGCGGGAAAATATGAATGCCTACTCATATCCAATCTTTTAGAAAAATCGATTTTTTACAGAAGATTGTCCACCATGCACTTGCACTGCACTCTTATTAGAATAGTAGAATAGAATGATATACAAATGGATGAAAATTATATATACATGTAACTGTTATATTAATATAATATATAACAACAAACCAGTGTATACTGATTTGTATCACTACAATATAATAGTTATTACGGTGAGGTTGAATTTCCTGTCATTTATTTATCATCCACGCACGAACTTGTCTCAGAAAAAAATATCTCTGTACATTAACCTCAGTTTAAGGTATAGAGATGTGATTTTTTTCTGTGACAAGTGCTTTTGACAATCCACAAGAACTTGCGGTCATCCGATGTTCAGTACTTCAGTACTTTGATTAGGACTGGAATTATCCAATAAAAATGATCTGAATTTTTCTCAAAATTTTCTCGGGCAGTTTTTTTTTCATATTATTTACTTCATTTCTTTGTTTTTTAAATCTTATTTTATCACTTTCTTTATTATTTTTCTAGAACTGCTTTCCGTAACATATCGCGAATTCTAATTTGCTTTCTTAATTGATTATTGAACCAGGGTTTGTCATTACATCTTCTTCCCTAGCTATTTCCAAAAATGTGTTTGTAAATTCATCACACATATCATCGACGTCCTCAAAATTTCCTATCTTGTCACTCTAATTAGTTTCGTCCAGATTGTTATTAAATTTAACCAAATCTATTTTGTCATATTGCCATATTTCTCTTTTAAATGTAGTAACACGATGTTTTACCGCCGTTTTAATTTATTATCATTGGTAAAAATAAAAATAAAAACAATAACAAAATTGAGACGGGTCTGTCATATAAAAAAAGAACAAGTTTGTTTTAATATTTTTATACAATAGTGGACTATTGAACCGATAGGTTCTAGAGCAAGGTCCACAAAACCACATAAAGTAATAGAGGTTCGAATTGGGGATTAATCTTACACACATGATTTTTTATAAGTAATTATTGGCTTTGAGATAGTTTTCAGTAATTGTGAGTACTTTCTAATCGGTACTTTGTGTCTTAATATAAAACAAAGGAGATGTGGTATGATTGCAAATGAGATAACTCTCAATCAAAGTCCAAATGACGTTAAGTTTAGTTACTATCGGTCATCAAGGGGGTGGGGGTTCTTGTGACTTACAATTTTTCAGCCTTTTTTTAAAACATACTATTTTTAAAAAGCATACTGGTACAATACTTTTTTTAATTTTTTTTAAAAATTTTATTTGATATTTCTTTATTTCCATAAATTGCTTGTTACATTGTCTTCAACAAGTCCAAGTTCCTTGTGAAGAATAAATATAATTTACAATTCTATTATATTAATAAATTATAATAATGCAATACTTTTTTGTAACTCATCGATGTTTCTATTTATTCACTAAATTTCATCTGAATTTATTTAAACTACGTTTATATACTTTATAGAAGAAAGTTCCATTATGTACAGATATATATATATATATATTAAAAGGACAAACTGGCAATAGACTACATTTAGTAATACATTTAAAATCAAATAATGTTCGCTACAGTTTTCGTGTCGTATTCTAAGTGAATGAAACCACAGCCCTTTTATAAGTTTATTATTTTTTTGCTCATTTTTGTGTGATATGAGGTAGACTTACTTTCAAATGTATTTTTCCTAATGATATTTTTTCAAATATTCATTGATCGAAACAAATTTTTTTTTATTTTACTATCTTAAATAATGGTGATACTTACACTTGTATATTGTTATATTGGATGAAATTGAACTGGCATGTCCACATATTGTACTTGTACCCCCAGTTTCACATATGAATTCCGTATACTGGAAATCGGCAGAAACATTGTATCCCAATGTAGACGTCTGACTATTCTGACAACCTTGCGGGAAAACCGGTCCTTGGTCAATGTCTCCGTTATCTAGCCAACTTCGAAAGTGTTTGTCATTTTCTCTCCTAAAACACCATCTTAAGACTTGGGCAGGAGCACCTACTGTTCCTGTACAACTCAACTGAATTAATGTATATGGGTTATATGTTTCATCCATTTCTGGTTTTGGACTAACTTGTATCTGATGGATCGTTGTAGGCCGTACTAGAACATATTTGAAATATTATTATTGTTTATTTTTTTTATTGCGAAATGGACCTACAAAATACATTTCAGTGTATTTTCATATTTTATATACCAGCAGCATATATATAAATAAGTCTAAATTGAAAACAACGTTCTAACCTATGATTGCGTTGGATAAAAACCGCAATTTTTATACGTGTGCATGCAAAACAAATTTCTTGGTAGAAGGGTCTAAATACAGCACAAACAACATTTTCTAAAAGACCAAAAAAGTGAAAAAGTATATTTTAACAAAACGTATTTGACTAACAGGTCGAACAACGGATGTTCTTAAACCCTGCTGACTGCCATTGGCGATAGCCAAATAAACGGATCACAAGATGTAACAGAATGGATCTTTATTATTAATTTAATACCAAACAGAAAACAATAAACTTGCGGAAAAGATGGCATACCGCAAACATGAGGTGCAAAAATTTGTACACCATATCCGGATTTCGACAATTAATGTCTCTTCGGTGATGTTAGGAATCGAAACGGTATTTGGAAGGCCATATAATTTACCTCAATTTAGGATAGACTCTTGAATTTTGAAGAGTCGAAATAGGATGAACGGATCATATAAACCCGAAGGCAGTATAATCTAGAGTTGTAACACAGTACATGATATATTAGGCAATGAAGATGGAATTGATTGCAGATTAGCTAAATGTCTATCGTAAAGGATCGTAAGATACAGTCACAGAAATAATTATTTTGATAAGTACATAAAATTGAGAATGGAAATGGGGAATATGTCAGAGACAACATGCAACCCGACCAAAGAGCAGATAACAGATCATAATAGCCGAAGGCCACTAACAGATCTTCAACGCAGCGAGAAAATCTAAACAAGTGACAACTGTACGACAGATCCATCCATTGGATCACCAGTGAAGGTGATACACGGCTGAAAACACATTTTATATGCATGACTACTCTAAATATCCGCACAACAATGTTAAATCTGCAAATTTGCGGAGGCAAATTTTTGTTCTTCCCTCGCAGGGATTCAAACTCATGCTATTGGGATATCGAGACAACACCACCTGCACTGTGTCCAGCGCTCTAGACCAATCGGCTACCTAGACTGAACTTAAAATTCAGCTTTCGGTGGCCTAGTGTTACCTTTCCTCGTCAGTAGAATCTAGAGTTGTAACACAGTACATGATATATTAGGCATGAAGATGGAATTGATTGCAGATTAGCTAAATTATCTGTCGTAAAGGATCGTAAGATACAGTCACATAAATAATTATTTGATAAGCACGTCTGAACAAGTGACAACTCTACGATATATCCATCCATTGAATCACCAGTGAAGGTGATACACGGCTGAAAACACATTTTATATTCATAATTACTCTAAATATCAGCACAACAATGTTAAATCTGCAAATTTGCGGAAGCAAATTTTTGTTCTTCCCCCGCCGGGATTAGAACTCATGCTATTGGGATATCGAGACAACACCGCCTGCCCTGTGTCCATCGCTCTAGACCACTCGGCCACCTTTACTTTAGATCTACTCTAAAAACACCGATACTCTTCAATATCTTAATTTCAGATCATGCCCTTGATCCCATACTAGAGGAACAATTCCGTTTAATTTTTCGATACTTTTTACACTATTGTAATACATACACCATTACGCGACAGAGGGCTTAAAGAATTTAAGGAACATCTATCAAGACAGATAAACCTCAAAACCTCATCGATGCGTCTATTACGGAAATGATGACACCAAAAGAAACAAATCAAAATGATACTAGCATTACTTACGTAATCACCCACAATTCAAGGAATCATAGAATTTTAAAAACGGCACTGAAAAATGTTTTCTAATGCTTAATTCGCATCGAGGGAAGACATCTTAACTGTACAGAAATGTGGAGACTCTCGATGTGGGATAAGCAATTGCATCAATGAGGGAGAAGCTATCATATTCAAAACCAGGGATATTTTTAAAGTGGTGTTGCTAAAAGGCGGAAACAGAATACGGAACGGAATACGGAACGGAAACGGAAAACGGAGACTTTATATAGAAGGCGTTCTTAATAATTTTCTGGGTAAATTTTTCGAAGCTAGTAGTAGCTTTTACGTTTCATTGTCTTCTGTTAGTTTTAAAGTTCACCGACCAGGTCTAGGTCAGTAAGCTAATTTCAGTTTTCAGTTATTCTTTTGTTAACTTGCATTCGATTAAAGTCGCAGAATGCGAGGCAAAAAGAATACAATATCATGGTGGTGACAGTGGCAACGGCGTTAACTATGTGTAAAGCTTGATATTTTAAAGGGTAAAGGAATTGGGTGATTCATCCATTGCGTTACAAAGTTTCAGTCTGTCATATAATCATTGTCCTTGAACTCGTTTTCATGGTTCAGTGACTGCCAAAAATCTGAATATTTTTTTTCGTGTTGTGAATGTTTCACTTATCATGAGTTCTAGGATAACTAATTTGGTCACTAGTATATGGTAACCTTACAAGGTTTACATGTCCGTCAGACATGGTTCACCTGACCTTGATTTCATGGGTCAGAGAGCAAGGTTAAGTTTCAGTGGCCAAGTCCGTATCTCAGATACTATAAGAAGTGGGTCATTTATAGTTGCATGGAATGATAGCAAGGTGTACATGTCTTTGTGGCAGAGTTTTGCTGACCTAACCTCATTTACATAGATCATTGATAATTTTTCTTTTCTCTGAGACTTTCGACATCATTCAGTCATTATTAGTAAAGCATACTGTACCTGTAGAATTATTATAAAAAGATGATATCACATCCTAGTTTTTACGGTTGGATGATAATGGTCACCTGCTTTTCTCAGATTATTGATAGTGATCTTTCAATAGCATTCATTAAGGGGACGTGGATTGTTGAGGATACAAATGTGTTCAAAAGGGAAAATACCTTTTCGCCCGGAAAGTCGAGGATAAAAATAAGTATGCGTATCAACAGATGAAAATAAATGGTCAATCATCGAAAAAATCCTCCTGCCTCATCACCCCCCGAAATATAAAATGATCGTACCCTAACTAACTGCGAGTACTTTTACATCAGTAATTTGAGTCTTTTATCTTTATGTTAGTTGTTTTGTTGTACTTCATGTCGATTTGATGAGTCAAGCCATTTCCGACTGGTTTTTTTTTTTCTAAAGTTTGTTAAACCCCGCCACATTCTGTATGCTTCTGTTCAAAATCAGGAACCTGTAATTCTTTAAGTTGCTGTCTGTTATATTTTTATGTTTTTATTGTTGTTGTTGTTGTTGTTATAAATGAGACCGTAAGTTTTTTTCGTTTGTATTGTTTAACAATTTATCTTGCCGGGCTTTTTATAGCTGATTGTATAATTTGAAACTACCGATCTTCTTTAAATGTATTATTTTCACAGAGTAAAAAAAACAATCATTCCAATTGGAAACATGTTAGATAGATTGAACATGCATATTCAGCTATGAAATTAATGCAGTTGTGCCTGCTGGTATATAATTTATAGCACGAACGGTGGTACATGTTTGTTGTCATCACAACGAGGGTGATTTAGGTCGAAAACATCATGCAAGACCAAACTCGATGTGCCAGATTTCGGTTGTGAAAAAAAACCCGACCCGTTTGATGCTTATACTACAGTTATAACAAAAATCTGTTCAATGAAAAAAAATAAAGTTTCGAAAAACCGATACAAAACAAACCAAACAAAATAAAAATCTTCAAAGTTAACTGGCCTTTTAAAACAAATAAATCAACTACACAACAAGCAAAATTGAGAAATGTATTGAGTGACAACTGTCTTGCTTATGACCTTATAGTGTAAGCAACAAAATGATGACTAGCACGAGATAATCCGTGTTTTATTAGTGCAACAATTTTGACTTAATTTGTGATTTTTAATTGTTAATTTTTTCAACGCGACTTACATTTCACGCATGAAATTTGGCACACTTAAGTCAGAGTAAAATATCTCGTGATGATACACGTAATAATTTTACTTTCGGTTAAAATGTGGTTAATTTCGGGTAAAATTTTCGTCTTACTAAAATGCTGAAATACTTATACTAAAACTACTTGAATACTTTCATCTTTCGTTATATGATATATTTAATATAAATGATAAACTATCTTCTAAGTTTTATTTCAACCACCAATAAAGAGCGCAATTACTTTATTTTTCATGTTACAGATTCTCCGTACAATACGGTATCTGGGAGTACCCTGTAAAACACGAGATTTAGAAAATCGTGACCACGGGAACTTACGACGACAATCATGAATGTTAACTATAATGTTATTCCTATAATGTCCAACAACAAAAAAGTCAGCCAATAACTTAAACTTGTTAATTTAGGACTTTTTGAACATTGTGCACCCTACTACAGGACAATGTGCCTTAAGGTATTTTAAAGGCTGGTATTGGTGGATTGTGGAAAAAGGGGACAAATGATAGGTGCTAATTCATTTTATATTTTTTAAGTATTCTAGGGCTTGTTTCATCTGCATGGTACAAGCGGGATTGTAATTTCCCATTCTATCCATTTTCGATTAACAAATAAAGAGATGACATACAATTCGTTCACGTCTTATAGTTTTAGAATACCTAAGACAAATAAATAACTTATCATGTATTATTCCAAATGATCCGAATTTTTGCAGTAATTATCATGAGCAATAAAGTGCAACGCAGCTCAGGCTTCCGTACGTTGACCATTACGTTGTAGTTCAGCAATAAATTGAATTTGTATTGAAATAAATAATACTTTTTTTTTAATTTAAAGCAAAGCATCTTTCGAATAACTGACATGCTAAACTATAAAATAAAATGTGAATGCTGTTGTTCCCCTGACGAACGAGCGTACGTAATCTCCGATTCTAAATAACAATTTGTATTCGAAACCCGTCATAACAGTCTTTTATTTTCCCTACCGAGAGTTGAGCGTACTTTACTATTAAAAACTTGGTTAGTTTCATATAAAACGGGAACAGGTCTTCAGTTGCTTAAAGTTTGTCTGCTGTTGTCTATGGTGCTTGAATTCATTCTGTTTTAATGGGGAAAAAATGATCCGGTACTGGAAATTATTACTTTTAGTACCTCAGAATAGTTTGTTTTACATAACATGTGAGCAATATAGTCTACTATTGATAAAATGTTTGTCTTCATAAATAGAAAGTGCAAATATATTTTTTTATTGCAATTGTAAATAATATGCCGTTATTCAAAATCATTACTTTAGTACCACGTGATGGATTGTTTACATACGATCTAGATACGAGCAACATATTTAGTCTACAGTTAGTGTAAAATTTTGTCTTCATGAATTAAGACTAAAGAGTGCAAATATCTTCTTTTATTGATAATAAATGTCGGGACTTAACTATGTACTTTTGATATAAAAGAAGGAGATGTGATGTGATTAGCAATAAGGCCACTTTAATACAGGGTCTTAATTACGTGATTAAGGTGACTATAGGTCACCGGTCGGCCTGTGTCAATGAGAAAAACCCATATCGTAAACTCAGATATTAAAAGCCCCGATATGACAAAATGTAAAACAATTCAAACGGAAAAACCAATGACTTATGTTATTACAAAACAATAAACGATACAATTTATATGACAGACAGCAACCGACGACAACCACAGACGATTGACTTTGGACATGCACATAACAAATGTGGCGGGGTTACACATGTTTGTGAGCGCCAACAGTGCTGTAACAACACAATATAAGAACAAACTGTAAAATCAGTTGAAAAACAAATAACATAAAGATAAAAGGACACAAGGTACCAAATAAAGAAAACTCAGAGTTACTGAAAGCTAATTCAAAGCCAACAAGACCAAGTACATCAAGATGGATTGTTTAACATAAAATGTGAGCAATAAAAATCAACAGTTGCTTAAAATTTTGTTGTCAGTATTTAAAAGAGCAAAACTTGTTCTGTGCATTGAACAATATCAAGTCTTCCTGCACTGTTAAGGCATTGCTGTATTAAATCCAATGTGAGGTAGAACCACCGATATTAGAGTATAGGATGGAATGGTTTCATATCCGTAAATTTAATACTTAGAGCTTGCTTTAATAGAGAGGCAAAAATACCAAAAGGATTCATAAGTCGAAGAAAAACTGACAACGCCATGACAAAACACGAAAAAAATACCAAAAGACAAACAACAGTATACAATGCACAACATAAAAAAGTAAAGACTGAGAAACACTAACCCCACATAAAATCTTGGTTGCTCCGGACGGGTAAGCAGATCCTGCTCCACATGTGTCACGTTGAGAATTCTTTGATACTGTATAGTTTGTAACTGTTTTTTTTATAATTATTTCAGATAGTCTAATTAAATGCTTTGCTTGTACTGACTTTATTGTATATTCTGTTATGTGCCATTTGTTAGTCAACTGATCAAGATTTGCAGGGGAAGAACTGATATCTAGCCTTAGAGCTCATCGTTTTGCTCAGATAACTTCCGTTTTAAAACTATATATTCATCTGTAAATGTTTTTGTAACATGCATTTGTTTTGAATATTGCTGACTCATGGACGTATACTCCGCATTTCCTTTCATTCAAAAATAGCAGTTTGCTTAATGTTCTTGTCCTACCTAATCTGAACGAATCCAAGATTTTCGTAAAAAATAGTGATCTCGCAATGCCTCAATTCGTTAATTTTGCACAAAAAGCTCAAATGTTAGGGTTAAGCACATGTATGCATTTGATCTCCCCAAAAAATTATATAATCAAATATGAAAAATATTATGAAATATTAGTCCGTCTTCAATGAATAACTTGATCAGAACATTCTTTATCACACCCCTTATCATCTTCGTTTGATTATATATACCTATTAATTCCACAGTGCCAATTTTCACTTTCTCTAATAGCTGATTTTTAGCTGAGGTACCAATAACTGTACAGCGAAATACTCCTTCATCTGAACATAAAACATTTTCGGGTGGGATGTCAAACGCCAGTCCGGAATTCATAATTGGGTATATATATTCCTTGATAACAGTGGCGCGATTCTGCCAACCTGTCCGAGTCCAAGCTGTTGCATTTTGCATACTTTTCAAATCAAAATAAACCGTAACGATGTTCTGAAAACCATTAGATGTATTTTTTTCGAGTGTGACGTTAGTTATAGACACCCACATTGGTGCCTCGGAAGGACTACATCCAATTCTAAGTTTTTCTTGCTGAAAAAGAACTGTCCGTGATAGTATCATGGAGACATCCTGGCAAGATACGGTATTATCTGGAAGAGAAATAGGAATAGCTTCGACTTTTTATCTTCAATGTAAGCATAATGTAACACAACACTCTTTTTGTAATGAATATTATTATCAATTTGAATTTTCCATTTATGTAAGCAATTTAAAAAACTCATAGTATCCAAAGATAAATTATGATACCAAACAGTTGATTGATGTATGATAAATTTTTCAATGAGTTGGTTTACTGTTGATGTAAAGGTTTTTATTATCGAAAAGAAGCTCTTGAGAGCTGCGAGCTTTTGTTTTATATAATATCTTGTGCAAACTCGAATTTAAATAAAATTGATCGGTATGGATTTTGATCTTTGTGGCTGTTCGTATGGTGATGATTTTTAACGTCATTTTCAATACAATGGAATTTTATGCGATTGTAATACAAATGAAAGGTTTAGTTAGCTATAAAACCAGATTTAATACAACAATTTGTACATAAGGAAACTCCTTAACCAAGTCATGAATATGGCAGTTGTTTTCCATTCGTTTGATGTGTTTGAGCTTTTGATTTTGCCATTTGATAAGAGACGTTCCGTTTTAAATTTTTCTTTAGGTTCGGTAGTTTTGTTATTTTACTTTTTGAAACTTGGTGGATAGATGTTGACAAAATTATTACTTTGGTAGTCTGCAGATATCTGTGCAAGGTGAACTGCTAGTATATGGAATATGCCAATCCACTATAAAATCAGTACTTCTGATAAATAATATGTTACCCTTTAAATGGATTAACATTTGGGTAATTACTTAGTTTTTGTTTGTTTTGATTTATAAAATCAGAACCATATCAGAGCCTCTTATAAAGAATATATTACCCTTTCATTCGATCAACATTTGGGTAATTACTTAGTTTTTGTATGTTTTGATATAAGTTCGTTGAAGCTACGTAATTGTTTGGTACTTTTAATAGCACTAACATAAATAAACCACCATACAAGATTGAAAATTTGCATAAAATTCTTCCAATTCATAAACAGCAGATGCAATTACTATATTTGTGATATTGAAATGCAGATACGTAGTAAACTAACATAATCTAGTTATAGAGATTTTGCCTTTAAGTTTCGAATGGGGTATACTTGTGAAAAGGGTGAAAAAATCAATGTCTTTATACAATTGCAAGAGAAAAAGATACTTAGATTATATGTTCTGTAACAGATCTTCAGAATTTCTAAGTATCCACATCTGAATCAATGTTATTTTAACACACTGTGTTTCTTACAATTATTAATGTCTTTTCTGTGATGTTTCGGACTGAAAGATTTGAAAATCTAAACCTAACAGAAACGTTAAATAGATGCAATGATATAAAATGCAAGTGTAGACAAAACTCTACAAAGAATCAGAGGTATGCATAAGGAATAAACACGGCATAATTTTAATGGATTTCCAAAGTTTAATTACAAAAATCTTTAATTAATACAATATATGTATCACTATGCCACAACCGAAGTACTGAGGCACTGGGCTAGTAATGTATTCGGGACTGATTGTCCACCAGCAGAGGTATCGACCGGATAGTAGCATTCACATTAAACGGTACAAATTTAACTGCAAAATATCCGCATTTGGACAAATGTCTTTTCGGTGATTTTCGAGATTTTGGTAATAAAAAACTAAAATATACGGCGAAAGAGACGCTTTGAACACTGCAATTCAAATCATCTTTTTCAAGATGGGAATGATCCTCTTGTCGAACCATTCGGCGTGTCCATGTAACAACTTGTAAGTTTTTGAAAAGCTGTTCTAATGAACTTCTTAAATGAGCGTAACCTTTAAGTAACACAAAATTTGCTTAAACAGGTTTTGGCTGTAGAAAACTGTCAAAAACGGGATAGCACATCTTAATTTTTACGGTGATGCTGTTTACCGCGCCAGTAAATTTAGATAGCACTCGGGTAAAATTGTCGATATCTTAAATGAACTTATTCTTAAAGGTTACCAATTAAACGCTGTACTTAGATCTTTGAATATTGTTTTTATCGTATTGATATAATTTTGGTATCAATTAATTAATTTGTCGATACCAATTATTTTAGCATTGCATAAGGTCATGTTTTTATCTGACTGTTGGTGACGTCTTTTACACTAAATCCATTGGAAGCTGCATTTTTACTGATTTGATATTTTAGTCTTAGATACATGATTTTAATTAGTTGTTTTATGGCTTTAAACTAGATTTAACCCCGCCACATTCTGTATGGCCCTGTCCCTAGTCCGGAACCTGTTATTCAGTGGTTGTCGCTTATTGCTATGAATCATATTTGTTTTTTATAGCTTAATATGCGGTATGGGTTTTGCTCATTGTTGAAGGCCGTACGGTGTGACTTATAGATGTTAACTTCTACGTCATTTGGTCTCTGGTGGAGAGTTGTCTCATTGGCAATCATACCACATCTTCATATTTTTATGTTAGAGTTAATCTAAACTTTCAAAAACTTTCAAAATTATTTACAAAAAAAAAAATAAAATTACAAAAATACCGAACTCCACGGAAAATTCAAGTCGGAAAGTCCTTTTTGAAATGGATCAATTAAAAGCTCAAACACATCAAACGAATGGAAAACAACTGTCATATTCCTGACTTGGTTCAGGCAATTCCTTATGTAGAAAATGGTGGATTAAACCTGGTTTTATAGCTAGCTTAACCTCTCACTTGTATGAGAGTTGCATAAAATTCCATTATATTGAAAATAATGTGTGAACAAAACAAACAGACATTAAGGGGGATATCCAGTGAACGAAAACAAAAGAAAATTTACTCTTCTCATGATAGAGTCGAGAAAGTCAATAATAAAACAATGCCGGTGACGATACTGATCAAAAGTTATTTCCAAATAATAATTGTTAATTTTAAATAAATTAATTGTTAAACTGCGTTATTAGAAATATACATGCAAATACACAATGTTTTATGTCCAGTATTTATCGAGATAATTGCATTAGAAGCCTGTGAAACTGAAATTTAAAAACTGCTAATCTTTGCTGCATATTGATAAAAAAAAATGGAAAAAATCATGTCCATACAAAATCTAAAGATCTTTCGGGTCACCAATTTTCGGAGTGTTCCACAAGCATGTTACAAGTTCCCAAAGTATATTTATTTGTTCACACCTACGTTATCGAGCACACCGGTCTGATCTTGTCACATGTACATTCAATAGAGAAATATTGTCTTTTTGTGAATATGAAAAATTAAAAGTCTGCCTGTGTATGGCATGGTTTTGGTTGCAAAAATTTGATATTTTTCATTTAAATGCAATATTTCTTATTTAATTGGTATATTTCTTCATTTAAATGCAATATTTTTGTATTTGAATGGTATATTTTTTTTCATTTAAATGCAATATTTTTTATTCAGATGGTATAATTTTTCATTCAAATGGTATAATTTTTCATTCAAATGGTATAATTTTCGTTCAAATGCAATATTTTTTTTTCAATTGGTATTAAATGTCATTTGAATGCAATATTTTTCATTCAATTGGTATAGTAGTTTTATTTATATGCAATAATCGCATTATGGGAAATTCTTTGACGTCATAAGGTCAAATTTGCAACAACGTTTGTGATTGGTCGGAAATTGTTTGGATTTCTCCCCTTTCTTTCTAAACATGGGTGACCAAGAATAAAAAAACGCGTCAGAATATCTCCCCTCTAACTAAATCTAACGTTCGTGCGAGTCCTGCACTGGCTGTTAAAATCTTGTGGTCATAACTAGTATTTCTATTGCAAAATGTCGATGGTCAAAACGTTCGGTCCACTTTTCAAAAACATTTTCATTGTATATGGATTTATATGCAAGTATATCGGTTTTTTTTAAATAGATTAGACACCGTTGGTTTTCCCGTTTGAATGGTTTTACACTACCAATTTTTTGGGGGCCCTTTATAGCTTGCTGTTCGGTTTGAGCCAAGGCTCCGTGTTGAAGACCGTACGTTGACCTTTAATGGTTTACATTAACAAATTATGACTTGGATGGAGAGTTGTCTCATCGGCACTCATATCACATCTTCTTATATCTATATACAACGTAAAACAGGCGTTTCTCAGACTGTTTTCTTTTTTAATTAAATCCTTTGCCGCGCGTTGTGTACTGATTGATAACTCAGTCTGGGAGAACAAGATTTATTTCAGTACCAGTTGTAATTAGGTTTGAGCAAACTTCCAGTAATTGCAAATACTCTTATGTCGGTGCTTTGTGTCTATTGTCTTAATGTTAGTTTTTTGTGTGTCTCGTACCGATCTTTTGAGTTAATTTGCTGATTTGTGCAAGTTGTTATTTTATTGTAATGTTACACCACTGTCCCAGCTTCGGGATGGGTTGCTCACAAACATGTTGTTGTACTGTTACACCGCTGTCCCAGATTAGGGGGAGGATTGGGATCCCGCTAACATGTTTAACCCCGCCACATTCTGTATGTATGTGCTTGTCCCAAGTCAGGAGCCTGTAATTCAGTGGTTGCCGTTTGTTGCTTTGTTATACATATCTGTGTTTCGTTCATTTTTTTGTACATTAATTCGGCCGTTAGTTTTCTCGATTGAATTGTTTTACATTTTTGATTTCGGGGCCTTTTATAGCTGACTATGCGGTGTAGGCTTTGCTTATTGTCGAAGGCCGTACAGTGACTTATAGCTGTTGATTTCTGTGTCATTTGATCTCTTGTGGAGAGTTGTCTCATTTGCAATCATACCACATCTTCGTTTTTATATCCACCCTGCCATATTCTTTATTTGCCTGTCCCAGGGTTGGAGCCTGTAGTTTAGTGGTTGTCGTGGGTTCCTGTCTTGACTCATATTTGATATTTTGTAAATTGTTTTGTTATGCATAATTAGGCTGTTAGTTTTTTCGTTTGAATTGTTCACACTTTTCATGTCGGGCCTTTTATAGACGACTTTACAGTATCAGGTTTTTGTCATTGTTGAAGGCCTTACGATTGTCTACAAAAAGCATTTGTCTACATGACGGCAAAAAGCTCTACAAAGCTTA